GCTCTCTCACGAGGCTGAAGTACAGTTGTGCAATCTCAGCTCACTGCAACCTCCACCTCCCGGGTTCAAGCGATTCTCCTGCCTAAGCCTCCCAAGCAGATGGGACCACAGGTGCATACCACCATACCCAGCTAATTTTTTGTACTTTAGTAGAGAGAGGGTTTCACTATGTTGGCCAGGATGGTCTTGATCTCCTGACTTCGTGATCTGTCCGCCTCGGCCTCCCAAAGTGCTGGGATTACAGGCGTGAGCCACCGTGCCCGGCCCAAGTCTCTTATTTTCAACAGTTTTGTTATTTTGGTTTTGTAACAGCACAGTTGAAAGACTGCAGCCTTCAATGACATTTTCCAATCTGCTCCAATTCTTGCCCCCTAGCTCAATGTTATCTACCAAGTCTAGCCATTCACCCAAAAGAATTAATCCATATATCAAAAGAAAAAAAATTGTCATTAAATTTGGTCTACACACCTTTCAGCTACTTCTTCTTCTCTTTTCTTTTTTCCTTTCTTCTTCTTGTTCTTGAAATTTTAGCCTTTCCTGACTTCTCCTCCTTATAGGTCCTTCACTGAAGTGCTTGGTCGTATCAGACGTAACCTGCTCCAAAACAATTCAAAGTTTCATTAGAAAAGTTTGCCAGCTGGCTCGGTATGCCCCAGGTCAGAGAGATAAAACTAAGAAAGTGCATGGTAATTCAAAATCAATTGAATTTAAAACGTCTTCTCTGCATCCCAGTACTCATATTCCTACTGCTTCTCAGCCACCAGCCAAACAGTCCTTGTAGTCTTGAGGATTTTCTTTGGCAGAACCCTTTAATAAGTATACCAAATCATCACCTTAACTTTATCCAGTTTTGCTTGTCAATCGTATCTCAATAAAGCTGTTTTTTGTTTTCTAGAGATGGGGTCTTGCTATGTTGCCCAGGCTAGAGTACAATGGCTATTCACAGGCACAATCCCACAACTGACCAGCATGGGAGTTTTGACCTGCTCCGTTTCTGACCTGGGCCAGTTCACCCCTCCTTAGGCAACCTGGTGGTCCCCCACTCCCAGGTCACCTTATTGATGCCAAACTTAGTGTGAACACCTGATCGGCATAGCGCACTACAGCCCAGAATTCCTGGGCTCAAGCGATCCTCCCACCTCAGCCTCCCGAGTAGCTGGGACTACAGGCACACAACACCGTGCCCGGCAATAAAGCTGTTTTAAAAAAAAAAAAAAAAAAACCCTGAGTAGCTTACCTAAATATCAAATCATCACCTTAACTTTATACAGTTTTATTTGTCAATCGTACCTCAATAAAGCTGTTTTTTAAAAAACCTGAGGTCATAGGCAGCATCACAGTGCCATCATAGGGACAGGCTGAGAAATGTCAGTATATTACCTCTGGTTCCTTAAAAAGATCAAATGAGTTAATGTATTTTTTTTTTAATCATCAGAAACAAAAATAGAAGTGTGTGTGGTGCAGGGGGAGCAAAGATGCACAAAAAGTAACCTGATGAGAGAGAAGATCTATCATGATTAGTAAACAACTTTTCAAATCTTGAAATAAAGTGAAAATTAGATTGAGATAGACTTGCCTACAAAATAAAAGCAGGCAGAAGTAGCTACTTACATATGTATGAGAATGGTAAGCAACAAATTCATGATCATGGTTAGCTCTGAGGGGAGGGAAGGGGATGTGACCGGGAATGAGTACCACTTCCTGCTGTTCAGTGTTTGGCTACAATTTTCTTGTAATTTGGTTAACCAAAAAACAAGAAAATTATAGCCAGACACTGGATGGCGGGAGGTGGTCTCTCATCTTGTGGTAATGTTTTATTATTTATTTATTTATTCTTGTTTGTTTTTTTTTTTAAGATAGATTCTCGCTCTGTCACTCAGGTTGGAGTGCAGTGGCGTGATCTCGGCTCACTGCAACCTCTGTTGCCCGGCTCAAGCAAACTTCCAGCCTCAGCCTCCCAAGTAGCTGGGACCACAGGCAAAAGCCACCATGCCTGGCTCATTTTTACATTTTTTATAGAGACAGGGTTTTGCTATGTTGCCCAGGCTGGTCTCAAACTCCTGAGTTCAAAATGATCCACCTGCCTCGAACTCCCAAAGTGCTAGGATTACAGGAGCGAGCTACCACATCCAGCCTAATTTTTTATTTTTTCAGCTGAGCGGTGGTATACAGGTGATCATGATATTATCTGCTATATCATTTGTCTGACTGAATAGCTCATAATTTAAAAATACACATTTTAACATAACTAGCTACATATACACACATGTACATACACACATGCTCGCTCTCGCTCTCTCTCTCTCTCTCTCTCTCTCATACACTGGAAGCTGAAAGTCCAAATTCATGCTAAAGACTTATTCAGAGAAAAAGGAGGGTGTTGTTGCATCTTTTCCACTGCTGGGTTAAGACTTCAAGAAGGAGATGACCAAAGCATGCAGACATCAACAAGATGATATTATGAAGTACACAGGCTGATTTTGAAAGTAAAGGATCCAAGTTTGTTAGGATTATGTTTTAGCAGTTTACCTGAGAGACATCCTGAAAATATAAGTTGTGACCCAGAAATAAAGAGGGAAGAAACTGCTCTCCATGTGTTTTTTGTCTTGTTTTTGTTGTTGTTGGGTTTTTGTTTGTTTGTTTTGAGGCAGTCTCACTCTGTCGTTCAGGCTGGCATGCATTGGCATGATCTCAGCTCACTGCAACCTCCACCTCCCAGGTTCAAGTGATTCTTGTGCCTTAGCCTCCCAGGTAACTGCGATTACAGGTGCGTGCCACCACTCCTGGATAATTTTTGTATCTTTAATAGAGATGGGGTTTTGCCATGTTGGCCAGTCTGGTCTTGAACTCCTGACTTCAAGCAATCCACCCGCCTCGGCCTCCCAAAGTACTGGGATTACAGGCATGAGCCACCGCACCCGGCCTCCACGTGGTTTCAAACTGCATGTATTCCTCTCTTCCTCTCTCTCAGCAACTTGTCAAATGCAGTAAGCATATGAGATAATTCCATAGGGCCCATGAAGAATTATTTAATGCCCTCAAGTATTTGGGACAGAGCCTCAGATTATAAGAACAATCACTTTAAAGTCACAGCTGGCAGCATGACTGATAGCACAAGAATGGGTGTTCAGAATTGTTTTTCTTCCTAAACATCCATTTGTTAATAATAATAAAAGTCTTTATACATTAGCTATTGATCAGAGCCCAGTAGGGTCTAAGAAAATTTATCCTAGATGCTTCCTTCCAGCTTTTACTCAGGATTACCTGAACAGTGGAAAATAAAAGAAACTCTGGCTGCTTCTTACCTTAATGTTACATGCCAGAGCTTTCCCATCATCTCTTTTAAGCATCAGTTTCATTCCTCGAAGGGACTCCATGGCTTTTACAAAGTCAGTTGCCTCTTGGTACTGTATGAAGGCCTCAAATGTCTGCAAGCCAAAGCTAAAACCCCCAAATCTCCCATCAGTCATCACTTCTCTGTAGAAGTCAAGCACAGGGATATCCACATTCTTGATGTTCCCAAAACTTTCAAAGACTACCTGAAGGATCTCTTCACATGGCTTCTCCTCGCTAGAATCTTTAGGTACAAACCATTTACAGGGCAAGCCTTCAAAATATATGGAATCTGGGCTCTTCTCATTGTCCTGCTCTTCAGCGCCGTCACTCAACAAGGCCTCTTTTTCCCTGGGGAAGTGCTCCCACTCTCCCTGGGCATCTATAGCCACTATTTTTAAGTCTTTTTAAAAACCATTTAGCTTGATGATCTTCCCACGTAACTTTGCCTTCAGGATCTGAACCAAACTTCGGGTTTCAACCTCACTCTCAAATTCGATGAAGTCCCTTGTTCTCTTGGAGAGCCGATCCGTGGTGAACTGGTCAGGGAAAATCAGGCTCTTCAGCAGGTCAAGAACTTCCCAGTTAGAGAAGGGCTTCATAGGTTCTAGACTCCCTGGGACCAATATGTTGATCATCAATTTTGCTATGGGCTTGAGGTAGAGGTGCTGAGCTGCACAGAGCTCTGTTGCCTCAGAGTTATCATACACCACTGTGATTGTCATGGTGTCCTCAGACCACCTTAGAGAGCGAAAGAGAAAATTTTGATACAGATGGAATAATGCACAGATTTGAATTGTGAAAGGGTGCTGGCATTGCTGGACTTAGGACAAATTGGTAAGGAAAACTATACTACAAATAGAATTAAAATAATATCTTCTGATTCCTGGAACTAATAAGTTATTTCAGCAGGGCTGCAGAATATAATGTTAATACTGAAAAGTCAATAGCCTTCCTATATAGCAGCAACGAGCAAGTAGAATTTGAAATTTAAAACTCAGTATCATTTACATAAAAACAAAAAAAAAAAAACAATGAGATACTTAGCTAGAAATCTAACAAAATATGTATAAGATCTATACAAGGAAAAGAATAACTAAATATGTGGTCCACAAATAAGAAGACTCAAGATGTCAGTTCTTGCCAACTTGATCAACAGATTCAATGCAATCTCAATCAAAATCCCAGCAAGTTATCTTGCGGATACTGGCAAACTGATTCTAAAGTTTATATGGAGAGGCAAAAGACCCAGAATAGCTAACTCAATATGGAAGGAGAAGAACAAAGTTGGGGAACTGACACAATCCAACTTCAAGACTTTCTATAAAGCTATAGTAATCAAGATAGTGGTTTGGCAAAAGAAAAGATAAATATATCAACAGAACAGAATAGAAAGCCCAGATAGATGCACATAAATATAGTCAACTGAGCTTTGAAAAAAAGGAGCAAAGACAATATAACAGAGCAAAAAAAACAGTCTTTTAAAAAAATTGGTTCTGGAACATTTAGACAACCACAAGACCTTGGGTATGGCAATGACTTTTTAGATGTAACATCAAAGGCACATTCTAGAAAAGAAATAATTGATAAGCTGGATTTCATTAAAATTTAAAGCTTCTGCCCTGCAAAAGACACTGTTAAGAGAATAAAAATATAAGACACAGACTGGGAGAAAATATTTGCAAAAGATATGTCAGATAAAGAATGGTTATCCAAATTATGCAAAAAACTCTTAAAACTCAAACAATAAGAGTACAATCTGATTTAAAATTGAGCCAAAGCCCTAACAGATACCTCCCCAAAGAAGATATACCAGATGGCAAAAAAGCATAGGAAAAGATGTTTCACATCAAATGTCATCAGGAAAATGCAAATTAAAACAACAATGAGATACCACCACACACCCATTAAAATGTCCAAAATCCAGTACACTGACCACAACAAATGAGGTCTCCTTAAGGAAGAAGCATCACAATGAGCATGTGGTACAATGAATGTTCTCATTCATTGCTGGTAGGAATGCAAAATGGTACAGTCATTTTGGAAGACAATTTAGCGGTTTCTTACAAAACATACTCTTGCCATATGATCTAGCAATACACACTCCTTGGTATTTCTCCAAAGGAATTGAAAATTTATGTCCAAACAAAAACTTGCATATAATGTTTATAGCAGTTTTATTCATAATTGCCAAAACCTGGAAGCAACCAAGATGTTCTTCAGTAGGCGAATGAATAAATAAACCGTGGTACATAGAGACTATAGATTATTATTCAGCTCCAAAAAGAAATGAGCTATCAAGCCATGAAAAGATACAGAAGAAATTTAAGTGCATCTTCCTAAGTGAAAGAAGCCAATCTGAAAAGGCAACATACTATGATTCCTACTTTGTAACATTTTGGAAAAGGCAAAACTATGGAGACAGTAAAAAGATTAGTGGCTGCCATGAGTTAGAGGGGAGGCAAGGATGAATAGGCTAAGCACAGAGGATTTTTAGGGCAGTGGAGCTATGCTGTATGATACTGTAATAATGGATACATGTCATTATACATTTGTCCAAAACAACAGAATGTTCAACACCAAGACTGAACCCTAATGTAATCTATGGACTTTGCGTTATGATGATGTGTCAATGTAGGTTCACTGATTGTCACACTTATAACCACTCTGGTGGGAGATGTTAATAATGGGTGAGGCTAAGCATGTGTAGGAGCAGGGGGTATATGGGACCCTTCTACCTTCCACTCAATTTTCTTTTTTTCTGAGATGGAGTCTCGCTCTGTCGCCCAGGCTGGAGTGCAGTGACATGATCTCGGCTCACTGCAACCTCCAGCTCCCAGGTTCGAGTGATTCTCCTGCCTCAGCCTCCCAAGTAGCTGGGATTACAGGCATGCACCACCATGCCTGGCTAATTTTGTATTTTTAGTAGAGATGGGGTTTACCATGTTAGCCAGGCTGGTCTAGAAGTCCTGACCTCAGGTGACCCACCCACCTCAGCCTCCCAAAGGGCTGGGATTACAAGCATAAGTCACCATGCCAGGCCCCTTCTGCTCAATTTTCTTGTAAATCCAAAACTTCTCTAAAAAACAAAGCCTATTAAAAATAATATCTGTTCTAGAAGGGAAAAATAATAATATATATTTATTTAATAATATTTGTTTAAATTTTTTGGAGTTTTCAAAGAGTATATACTGTGTCTCAGTTTCCTTAATCATAAAATAGAGGTAATAAGATTTGGGAAAGGATTAAATGAGTGAGTACAGGTGAAATCCTTAGAATGTGCCCAGAAGTTCTCAATAAACATAAGCTATTATTTATTAGCGGTAGTATTCTTACTTTATCTTATTTGATTTATGAAGCAAACTGTTAGTAAGCATTTGCATGCCTATTTTACAGAGGAGGGAATCCAGACAGATTTAGGAAAATTAAATGACTTGCCCATATATTGACATACCAAGATTCCAAATCTCTAACCTATTGTACAATTGATCTTAAATGTAAAGTCCCACTAAAAACCTGCTGGGGATGGTACAGAAACAGGGCCAGGGTGACATATTAATGAACATGCATTAAACTGATAGTTCTAATCCACACACCAGACTTAGCATCCCTTGTCCAGGTTGGTTTCCAAGTCTAAAATGGGCATATCTACTCTTATTCCTCCCGTCTGTTGACGTTAACTAAATTGATCTCTAAGTTAAAGTTAGGAGGAGACAGCCTTTTCTAATGAGTGACAAAGTGAATTTGCCCTATACTTTGGGAATGGAAAAAAACCCCAAAACATGAGTGCTTGCTGGTACTTGATATTAACAAACTCTTTGAAGCTGTCCTAAGGAGAACAAGATAACTAATGCTGGGAATTAGAGATTTAAGCTTCTATTTGCTTACTTTAAATACCACTTCCCAATAAAGGAGTTTTTTTTTCTGAGTGGACATATTCAGACTCTATGTTGCCAGAATTTCTCATTAATGTCAACTTTGGGGAAATTTAGACCCAAACATATATGGCCAGATGATGGAAATCCTAATACAAAATTTACTGCGAAATCTTGGCTAATTTTATAGGTACAGAATTATTTAATAACTAACCCTAAAGGACAATCCAAGTTAACTTCCTTTAGAAGACAAGGTTTGTATAGACTGATTTTATAAAAGGTCATTAAAAGCAGTAACTAAGATACGTTCCAGAAACCCTTATGACAGCAACACTGAAATGAGATGATATGAAAATAAACATATTTTCTTTCTCCAAAAGCATTTAAATAGCAAAATGGAAAAAGTCCAGTTAGTTGGCTGTAATTTGCAATAAGAGTCAACACTAAGCCCCCTCTAGGAGAAAAATTAATGGGATATTCAATTAAGATATAATGAACTCTAAAATTTATCTATAATCATTAGGTATTCATTTACATAGCCTAATTTAAAGCAACAGTTTTTAAAAAACATTCCAGAAAATAAACACCCAAAACAGAGTTACTCTCTTCAAAGTAATCAAGTTTGTCAAGCTCTCCATTTGCTCCAGCAATGCTGCCTCTGTTTAAAACACTGTAGAATGCTTCTCTTGGATTGATTTCAAAGCCTGGGTGACATTTGTTTAAGTAGCATCATGGAGGCCAATTTCTAAATTCCTTTATTATGGATTTGACATTTAGAAATTATCACAAATTATGTAGAATCAAAAATGTTAGATAAAATGGATGACTATAAAGAACTGATTTTCCCAAGAAGACCCAATTGTTTTTGAAAATAAAATAAAATAAAATAAAATGACCTCTTTAAAAATCTTCACAACTTAAATTCCTGTTTCCCAAGGACAAAAAAAAGACAACAACTGAGGCATTTGTTCTTCTCATATCTTTCATAGTTGTTTACAGGCTTTCGATCTTAAAATTGAATGTCAATAAATATTTTACCTTAAATTACTCTCCCAAAACAGAGGGCTAATTCTCCAATTCTACTTCTAAAAAATATTGAGGACCTAGTGTGAACCAAGAAGCTTTTTATATATGTCATGGCTTCATTGCTATAGCAATGTCATTGGCAACTTCTTTTAGGTCACTAATAATTTAACTAGCATAGTGACTGGTACACAGGTGCACAACAACCAACTCCTGTTGTAATGCTTCTTCCTTAAGGAGACCTCAAGTTGAAAACTAATAAAAAATATAGGAGTAAAAAGAGGAGGAAGAGGAGGAGGAGAAGAAGGGAAAGAGAGGAAGGGAGTAATTTTTATATATTTAGGGAATACAAGTACAGATTTCTTACATGCATATATTGTGTAGTGGTGAAATCTGGGCTTTTAGTGCACCCATCACCTGAATACTGTACATTGTACCTAACCGGTAATTTTTCAATCCTCACCTCCCTCCCACCCTCCCACCTTTTGGAAGTAGCAAGGGAGGTAGAAAGCCAGACAGCAGATCTGTATTTACTAACAGAAAAGGATGCCTATGATACTTTTTAGAGAAAAAAATAAAAAGTGACAGAATAATAAAGTAAAATATGATATTGCTCTTGTAAAAGTAATACAAACACACATGGCCATGCACACAAACATATAATATATAATGTCTGGAAGAATATACATTAAATTGTTAACAATATTTTCCCTAGAAAATGGATTGGGACTATAGGAAAAGAATAAACTTTCCCTTTTTATTAAATGCTTTGTACATTTCCTTTTTTAAATTTTATTTTTATATATTTAGGGAGTACAAGTGCAGATTTCTTATATGCATATATTGTGTAGTGGTGAAATCTGAGCTTTTAGTACACCCATCACCTGAATAGTGTACACTGTACCCAATGGGTAATTTTTCAATCTTCACCTTCCTCCCATCCTCCCACCTTTTGGAGTCTCCAATCTATTATTCCACTCTATATGCCCATATTGTACATTTCTTAATGCTTCAATTTTTGATGTCTATAATAAGAATGTATTAATTTTATACTTTATTTAATTAAAAAGAGGAACTTCAAATTAAAAGGAAGCAATTTATAACTGCTGACACAAACTTGTCCAGAAAAGGATCTAAAAAAAGATTATAAAAAGGAAGCAATTTATAACTGCTGATACAAACTTGTCCAGAAAAGGATAAAAAAAAAAAAAAGATGACTATAATAGCAACTCCCTTCACCCACCAAAAGCACCCCTCTGTCTGCCATCACTGTAAATGCCTATAGGCATCTGAATCCATAGTCAAAGTTTGTGTAAGTCATGATGGAAGCCCAGGAGATCAGAATAGGACTTTGAATATTACAGGCTCACTTGGCAACTATAATGCTAGTGACCCCATGGGCTGCAGAACTTATTTTTTTAGAACTGCTTTATTGAGGCAAAATTGATACATAATAAACTATACATTTCATAACATAAACTACACATGAATCAAAACTATATATTTTGATAAATTTTGACACATGTATACATACCTATGAAACTATCAGTACAATCAAGGTAGCCAAAATATCCATTGTCCCTCCACATTTCCTGATGACCCTTTGTAATCCTTTCTCTACCCTCAGTAATCACTGTTCTAGCTGCAAAATGTTTTGTCTTGAGACAGGGCCTTAAGTCACCCAGGCTAGAGTGTAGTGGTACAATCAAGGCTCACTGCAGCTTCAACTTCCTGGGCTTAAGCTATCCTCCCACCTCAGCCTCCTGGGTAGCTGGGACTACAGGAATGTGCCAATATGCCCAGCTAATTTTTTATTTTGGTAGCGACGGGTCTCCCTATGTTGCCAAGGCTGGTCTCAAACTCCTGGGTTCAAGCAATCCTCTCATTTCTCTTACCTCAAGCTCCCAAAGTGCTGGGATTACAGGTGTGTGCCACCACTCCTGGCTTAGCCGAAGAGTATTTAACTCATAAATGATAATTTATAACACAACAAAAGCAGATTTTTTGGAAAAAACCAGGCCAGGCCTGGTGGCTCACACCTGTAATCCCAGTACTTTGGGAGGCTGAGGCAGACAGATCACCTGAGGTCAGGAGTTCAAGACCAGCCTAGCCAACATGGTGAAACCCCATCTCTACTAAAAATACAAAAATAAGCCAGGCATGGTGGCGGGCGCCTGTAATCCCAGCTACTCCAGAGGCTGAGGCAGGAGAATCACTTGAACTCAGGAGGCAGAGGAGGTTGCAGTGAGCCAAGATCGTGTCACTGCACTCCGGCCTGGGCGACAGAGTGAGACTCTGTCTCAAAAAAAAAAAATAAGTTTGTGGTTTTCTCCCCCACACAATCTTTGTTTTTAACCCTGTTTAAGCCAATTAAACATTCAAAAATATAATCTATGCATAGTTATTATACCATATAGTTACTATATGCATATTTATATATTCATCAAAATATGCATACCAAAATGGGTATAGTATAATATCTATAGTATAACCAAAATGGGTGGCATCACTAAGATCAAGTTATTAGGCTATGACTTAAAACTTATTATTATTTTTTATTTTTTGAGATGGAGTCTCCCTCTGTCACCCAGGCTAGAGTGCAGTGGCCCAATCTTGGCTCACTGCAACCTCTATCTCCCAGGTTCAAGAAATTCTCCTATCTCAGCCTCCTGAGCAGCTGGGATTACAGGTGCCTGCCATCATGCCCAGCTAATTTTTGCCTTTTTAGTGGAGACTACCATTGACCAGGCTGGTCTCGAACTCCTGACCTCAGGTAATCCGCCTGCCTTGGCCTCTCAAAGTGCTGGGATTACAGGCGTGAGCCACTGCACCCAGCCAAAACTGATTCTTTAGAACAACCTAATTTGTCTCTAATTTCCCTTTTAATAAGCCTGTGCTTCAATTGACAGTAATGGTCAATTGAATTGACAGAATTCATTAATATTCCCATCATTTTCACCATTCACTATTATATGCATAGATTAATTTATTAAACAAAGTTTTAGGAGCCTAGATAAACTAAGCCTTGATGGCATGAAATGCCATAATCATGACCTTTACAAATTATCAAAAAGTCAAATTTTAATAAATATTTTTACTATTCCCATATTCTATTGTGTTCCACCATGACCTCCCCAAACCTCCTCACCCACATATACACATTTTTCTTTTAGCCTTATGATTAAAAGCAAGACTACTGAGATGGCTTATTCTTTAATATCTCTGCATAGGCAAATGGGAGCTCCTCTAACCTTAAAAATTATAGTTATTTAATAATGTTTACACAGTGTGCATTCTAGCAGTAGCTTGTGTACATAGCTTTACTAAAACATTTCACTCAACATGTTCCCAGTGCCAAAACATTTATAGAAGATTCTCAGAGAACATGGTCACCTCATCTTCCTTGCCTCTATCTCTCACAGCAAAGCTGATTGAATAACAGTAGGATAAGGGAATAGAGAAAAGGAAACAGACTGGAGATGTTCTCACAAGCCTAAAATGTTTGTTTTAACTAGCTGTGAAACCTCAATAAATTCTGCACAGTCTGCATCCTAAGATACTCCAATATCCTCCCATTTCAGGAGATACTTGAGAGATTCACCTAATACATCTCAGGATTTTTAGATCAGAAATATAACTTGAAACTTTAAAAGCACTTGAGTCATCAGCAAAGTATCCACCTATTCATTCTCTCGTTTGTTCTCTCATAAATATTTGCTGTCACAGTGTGAGAAAGGCCATTTGAATGAGGTACTTTTTAAAAAACAGTTGAAAAAATAGGACCACCTATGCAATCAATATCCTCTTTCAAAGTAGCTTTTTGCTGCCTTTCCTTTTTCCCCAGGCTTTTGAACCTTAGTCATTTTGAAAACATTCAAGATGTATACAATTATACAATATATTAGGGAAGTGGTAGGGAAGCCAGAATTTATTTGGGTCAAATTAATCTAGCCAATTTTCAATTATCTGGCTACTACAGAATCCCAGTAAGTCTTGACCAAATAAAAATATTCCATGGCTCTTTAGTCAAGAGGCCATGCATGGATGTTCAAGTATTCTGACACATCATTAGCCCAAACAACATTTTTAAAACTGAGGCTGACCATATGCTCTAATCTTGAGTAACTTAAAAGTCATATCATTAAAATGAGTAGCACTCAGTTTTGCAATAATAAGAATATAGCCAATATACGACCTGACAAATGACCAAATTCCCAAATTAAAATGGTCTGGGCTTATGGGGGCACTGGAGGCTTTCTGGACAGAATGGAAGGGACTTTCGGAGATCCATAGCCATTCGGCAATGATAAATTTGCAAATATTAGAGTGCTACTGAAAGAGAATCTTTTCTCCCACCATTCAAAGAAAATCGGCTCTAAGGTAGAGTTTAGTATGCGGGATTTTGATCCTGAAATGAAGAAAGCTAGATTCATATTAACTTATCTCTGAGCAACCTAATTTCCTGTTTTCTTTTCCTCATGTTAAAAGATTATCCCTAAAGTTTCCTTTATGTGAGGCTTGTGAAAGCAAAGTGTTCTGAGTGTTTCTGAGGCTGATAGAAAATAAATTAGTCCAAAGAAAAGTCTTGTGTTGGCCTTTCTGTGCAAATGTATTCTCATAACTAACTCTAAGCTAGTGTGTATAGGAGTCATTCCAAGATAACAAGGGAAGAGCTTTTTTTAAAAATCTGCACAGAGCAGTCAGTAGACCTATCTGACCAGCATTTTGGTCTTTTGCCCCTTTTTCACCAGGAACATTTTTGTTGAAGAACACTTCTCTCCAGACACCTCCACCAGGAATACTGCTTTATATCTTGGATTAATAAACAATTCTATTGAAGAAGACTCACTGCTTTCTCTTCTCGTGAAAAAAAAAAGCTATCAGGGAATTAAAGGAATGTGGCTGAGTATCTTCCATACTTTTGCCTCAATCACTGAATAATCAGAGTATTATTTGTGGGAAATGCATATCATGAAGTTGCCAGTGTTTTGCTTCTCAGTTATATTTCCACAATCTGAAAATTACCAGCAAAATTCCTGCCCACCAGTCGCCACCTACAGGTCAAAAGCAACCTTCACACAGGCCCCTGCTCTGCACTACTAAAGTTTTTGAGAGCAACAGTATTTCCCAACCTTTTTAAAATCCCAAGGTAAACCTATTTCAATACAAGTTCTACAGAATAGGATATTACCCAATACCTCGTGCTGAAAATGTGATCAAGGGAAGAAAGATTGGAGAAGCCACAATTCACTTCTTCACAGTTGACCAAAACGAAGTTATGGCATCCTAACCAGGGAACACTGCCAGAGAGAAACAGGTACAAAGTCAAAAGTGGATGAAATCATTTTAAAAAATAAGACAACTGTGTATTAACAATATTCAGCATGAACAGCGTGTAAGATTTACACCATTGTACTTATATGCCATCATGATCTGATTTTTGCACCTGTTTTATTAACAATTCCAGATATTGATATGGTCAACACAATTAATCATTTTTAATGTCTATAAAGAGTTTCTCTAGAAATTCTGTACAATTACAATGTGCCAGTATAAATTAAAGATTGTTAAAAAGAAATTCTATATAGAAAAAAATTCTATAGAAACTCTATGGAGACTTACTATATATTTAGTTGGATATTCTCCCTCCATGGGGATTTGTGTCTTCAGTTATTTTTGAAAGAGCATAACTCTTTCCAAAAGAGTACTACCACTACTCTATACTACTATTATGAGAATGAGTGCTACCATGGAAATCTTTGTATAATTTTTTTTTTTTAACAGAGTCTCACTCTGTAGCACAGGCTGGAGTGTAGGAGTGCAATCTCGGCTCACTGCAGCCTCTGCCTCCCGGGTTCAAGTGATTCTCCTGCCTCAGTCTCACGAGTAGCTGGAATTACAGACCTATGCCAATANTTTTTTGTGGAGACGAGGTTTCACCATGTTGGCCAGGCTTGTCTAGAACTCCTGACCTCAAGTGATCCACCCGCCTTGGCCTCCCAGCATGCTGGGATTACAAGTGTGAACCACCATTCCAGATCTTATGTAAATATTTTTTAAAGTCAATTTAAGGCCAGCCGCGGTGGCTCACACCTGTAATCCCAGCACTTTGGGAGGCAGAGGCGGGTGGATCACAAGGTCAGGAGTTCGAGACCAGACTGGCCAGGTTGGGGAAATCCTGTCTACACACACACACACACACACACACACACACACACACACACACACAAAATACAAAAATTAGCCAGGCATGGTGGTGCACACCTGTAATCCCAGCTACTCACGAGGCTGAGGTAGGAAACTGTTTGAACCCAGGAGGTGGAGGTTGCAGTGAGCCGAAGTGGTGCCACTGCACTCCAGCCTGGACAACAGAGCGAGACTCTGTCTCAAAAAAAAATTTTTTTTAATAGAAAAAATAAAAGCCAATGTATTAGTCCATCAGCAGCATTAACATACTTGATTCCCTTGCAGTCCTGATCACATTGGATCATTAACATTTTTATTTCTGCTACCTCTATTAGTATTAAATAACAACTTAAAGCAATTTTACTTTGCATTTAGTTTTATGTAGACTGAAGTTCCAGCCAATCTTTATATTGATATTGAACTGCCTATTCAATGTCTCCAGTTGAATGTATCATTGGCATCTCAATTGAACAAGTGCATCAGAGCCCTTAATTTGCATCTCCTAAACTTGTCCTCCACCTCGCACTTGCTCCCTTGACCCCAGTGATTCCCAGCTCCCTAAATAGAGCCACCCTGCACCTAGGTGCTTAGGCTCAAAACCTAGGAGTTAATCCTTCCAAAAGTCTTTTTGATTCTACCTTTACCACAAATCTCCATCTTCACTGCTACCCTCCAGGTCCAGGCCACTGTCATCTCTCACCTGGACTGCTGCAACAGTCTCCTAACTGGTCCCTTTTCTTCCACCCTTTCCCTTACAGAGTCTACACAACACCCAATGCCATATTTTTAAAAACCTAAATCAGATCACATCACTCCTCTGTTCGAAACCCTCCAGCAGCATCCCATCATGCTTTGAATGAAATCCAAACTACTTACCTTCAAAACATGTCCCCTGCCCACCTCTTTCAACTCAATTTTGTACCCTTCTCCCCTATTGCCCTTGTTCTCTCCATCCCAGCCCCCCTGGCCTTTTTACTGTCCCTCAAATGCATCAGGTTCACTCCTGAGGCCTTTGCTCTTGTGGTTCTCTCTGCCTGAAGGGCTCTCCCCCAAGATTTTCTCATGGCTGGCTCCTTCTCTTTGCTCTGACTTGAATGTCACCTCCTCAGAGAAGCCTGCCCTGAACACTCTCTGAAGGAGCACAGTTTCCACCCCTGTAACTTGGTAGCCTATCACCCCATTTTATTTTCACTGTAACACAGAAACTATCCTATCATCTTGTGTCATTGTTAACCTTTTTAAAAAAAATCTGCATCTTTCTGGTTCACCATTATACCTTCAGAGCCTAGAACAGTGCCTAACACATAGCAGGAACTTAATAATGCTAAATCTTACGTAAAACAGAGACTTTGCTCAATAACTACATTTAAAAGATGTTACTTCCATACTTAAAATACTAATAACAGGACCTAAAGACCCATAGTGAAATGATAATGCAGACTTGCTTTTCTTTGGGACGCCTAGACCTATTAACATTAATCAGTGAACATTGAGATTAATTTAGGTGTACTTACCAAGCACCTTTAAGACACTTTGGAGGCTACAGTAAAGATTCACCCTCAAACAACTGAGTCTAGAAAGAGAAGAAAGAGAAAGAAATTGAGACAATTAACTGGAATCTAAGGAAAAACATGGTGAATGTCAGGAGAGACTTTTGGTATTCTGGGCTACAGACAAGCAATAATGGTTTTAACATTCCTTCTCATGAAATGAGTGCTAAAATTCCTGAGAATAGGCTCCAGTCATGTTTAAGTGTATCAGTATTGCTCCCTTCAAGAGTGTTGGGACATGCATAAAAATGGTTGTAGCTGTCACAATCACTAGCATAGGGAGGATACCACTGCCATTTGGTAAGCAGCGGCCAGCCATGCTAACTGCCCTGCAGTTCTTAAACAGACCTGCACGACAAAGAACTCCCTGCCTCAAATGCCAACACAGAGTGGCTTATATTTGCCCA